TCCTCACCCTGCCCCCGCGGGGCGCGGCCCGCTCCCCCAGCCTGAGCCGCCTGCTCTGCAGACAGGTAGGAGGAGGCCCCGCTCCCCAACTCTGCCCAGCCTGAGGGGGTCCCTCTCCCCATTAAAGGATGAGTGACGGGGGTGCTTCATCCCTAGAGCTCGCGATGACAGAGGTCCCAGTCACCAGGACCACACCCCACTTGGGCAGCAGCCTCAGTGCCCACCACACCCCACAGTGGTTCCTGAGGCCTCAGGAACCCACAGACCACCCTTCCCAGCCTAGGGCGCCACGCTGGGCTGGTGGTGCACAGGTTATCTCGGCCTAGCTCTGTGCCCAGCAGGGTTTCAGGGGCCCATGACAGGCTCTCCCTGCCCAGGCTGCAGCCCTCTGCTCCTCACCGCCCCTCCCATCGTGACAGGCACGAGTGCTTGGCACCCGCATGCAGAGTGGTCTCCAGGGTGGCATGGGCGAGGCTGGAGGACAGTGACACCCGCATCAGGAGCTCTCGGCCCGATTGCCCCCTGAACCCCCACCTCGGGGGTGCCGGAGCCCCCTCTGGCCCAGGTGGGGAGGGGTCTGCACCCCGACTGCTGGCTGGGCTCCGCATGGCCTCATCTGACCCCCTGCCCTTGCAGGAGGCCCTGCACGCCAGCTCCCTGGAAGCACAGGCTGACGGCCCTGCGGACTGCGGCCCGGACGTGGGGGAGCCCGATGGGAAGACCCCCACCAGACAGGCGTCCCTGGGGGACTCCCTGCGGTCCCCTCCCCGCTCCCCCAGGCCCGCCAGCGTCCGAGCCCGAAAGCACGCTTTTGGACAGACCTGCCTCTCCTCCAGCCAGCTGCAGGCCCCGGCGGGCGGGGAGGCGGCAGAGGCCCCGGACCCCGCCGACGAGGAGGTCAGCCACATCACCAGCTCGGCCCGGAGCCCCTCGCCCGAAGCCCGCGGGGTGGCGGCCGGCAAGCCGGACCTGTGCCGGCTCTATGGCACGGACGCTCAGGGCCTCCTGGACCAGCCCGGCCGGGCAGACCCGCACCGGCGGCCCCCAGTGGAGCAGGGGGGAGGGGACGGCCGCCCGGAGCCCGGCGAGGCGAAGGCCCAGGCCCTGGAGTCCGAGCCGGCCCTGGGGTCACGCCGGAAGAAGAAGATGAGCCCCCCCTGCATCTCCATAGACCCCCCCGTGGAGGACGAGGGCGCGGCCTGGCCCCCGGCGGCCGAGGGCGGCAGCACCACGTTGCGGCGCAGAACCCCGTCCTGCGAGCCCGGCGAGGGCTCGGGGGCGGACCCTGCCAGCAAGGGGGAGCGCTGGGGCCAGGTCCCCTGCCGGGCGGAGCACCTGACCATCCCCAGCTTTGCCTTCGAGCCGCTGGACGTGGGGGGCCCCAGCGGGGACCTGTTCCTGGACAGTGGCCACCGGGCGGCCCCGGAGCCCAGAGCTTCCTCGGGGGCCGCAGCGCCGGCCGAACCTCAAAACACGGAGTCTCCCATGCCCTTCGGCGACCCCCCAGAGAAGGGATGGGGGCTGTACCTCAACGTCCCCGAGAGCCCCCCAAAGAGAGCAGGGACCCCCCCGGCCAGCCCCACGCCCGGCGACAGTGCAGATGAGTCTGTGTAGCTGGGGACAGGTGCCTCGCGGGCTTGGCGCTGGGGCTGGGGTGGTGGCCCCGGGCTTGGCACTGGGGTTGGGGTCCGCTGGGGTGGTGGCCCCGGGCAGGGCCGTGCATGGACCCCGGCTCGGGCCCCACGTCGGGCAGAGGAGCCGGGAGGACAGACGTCTGCCCAGAGAGAGGGAGACAGGTGCTGCTCTGGGCGAAAGGAATAAGGTTGGCTCCTCAGACTGGGGGCCTGTCGGTTCAGGTTTGGTTTTTACGAGTTTGGCCACCGTGGTCAGACTGCGGGCAGCCTGGTCAGCAAGCAGTCCCTTCGCGAGCGAGGACCAGGGACAAGGACCAGAAAACAGCCAGAGGGAGAAGGTAGAGGCTGCCCAGCAGAGTCCCGCCCTCACATCCACTTCCTTCCATCGGGAACTCACGCTTGTGCCCCTTGTGCCCCCCGGGTGGCTGCCCCGTCACCAAGGCCCCCGCAGCCGTGCCTCACCATCCTTCACAGTCTGAGCTCCTGTCCATTCATCCTGCCCTTTGCCATCGCTGTCTCTCCATCTCCCCTTCCTGGACCCCCCCCCACCCCTCCCCGCCATTCTGTCCAGAAAACGCCCATGGACTCTGGCCTCTGTGAAATGCCGAATCCCCAGGGGACGGGAGCCAAGACCCCTTGTCCAGCCCCTCCTTCGGCCGTCCTGGGGTCCGGGCAGAGCCGTCCCCACGGGTCCCCTCTGTTTCACTTTGTTTCTCTTACCAATTCAGGTTCAAGTTGCAATAATCCGATGCAGAAAATTCAGCTTCTGACGTTTGAGGGGATGGGGGGCAGAGCAAACAGAATAAACATTAACTTATTTAAAGAACAAGTGGGTGGCCCTCGGCACCTCAGTCCCGCCTGAGAGGGCAGACAGCTGGAGGGGGACCGCCAGCCCAGTAGAGTGGAACAGTCCTCTCCTGAGCACCTGCCTGCTGGTGTCTGTGTTCCCCCCTCGGGCAGATCCATGGTCGGGAAGTTCTGGAAACGCTGAGCTCATCATAGCAACAGAGCACGCTGCCTTCATGCTGGAGAAGTTGTTGCCAGAGCTGCTGACAGGGAAGGGTGCTGGGGGGGTCCCCACGGGGAGAGCTTTCCAGCGGGGCAGTCGGCTTAGGATTGCAGAAGGCACCTCACTCTTGCCGTCTCCCTGCCCTGGAGTCCTTGACCCCTTGCCCCACATCCTGCTTGCTACAGCCCCATGACCCCTTTCCTTGTTTTCAAAGCCTGATTGGGGATATCAGGAAATCCAAGCTCAAGGCTCAGTGTGGCAGAAACATCGGAAACCTCATGACCAAGGTCACCAACCCACCCTCCCCACATCCGTCTCGCAGTCCCATGGTCACCAACTGACCTAACGGACACAGCATAGCTGCCCAGCTTGGGGCACCCCTATCTGACCATCTTGTCTGGCCAGGGCCTGATGACTGAGCTGCAGAGGGGCCTCTGGGAGGGACTGCACTTTCCCAGTCCCAGCCCCCTGCCCAGCTCCTAGTCACAGGCCTGGGTTGTAGGCGCCTCTGTGTCACTGACCCCCTTGTAGGTGTGCGGGAAGCCAAGGTGCATGGAGGGGGAGAGTGAGGATGTGTCGCAAAGGTGCCTGGATCACATTGCACTGACAACAGACAGGGATGGCAGTGGCACCATCTCTTGCACTGACCCCGTCACAGGAACATACCTGTGAGGGCACACTTTTAAGGAAAGAGGCGAACTGCCCTTCTGTCCAGCTCGGGGAAGGCAGTGGAGCCCTGGCCAGCTCTCCCAGGCTCTGAAGGCCTGATGTCACCCAGTCTGGGGGTTGGGATCTGGGCCTAGTAGGCCCCAGGTTCTCTGTGCTTCCTGGACACCCAGGGCCTTCCCTGGTCACCACATGATGGGCCTTCAGGGCCTTCACCTGTTTTAGCTCATTTGTCTCCAGCACTGAGAACCCTCATTCCATCGGCACCCCATACATGGTTTCCTGCAGGACCCCCACAGCCCCAGATGGCAGGCCTGTGCTCCAGCAAGAAACTCCGATCACCATGGGTGTGGCCCCTCGACGACTCTGAAGGGACTCGGTTCTGTGCCCATTTTCCAGGAGAGCACAGGGAGGGGTGGTTCTCCAGAAAATGACTCGCTCCCCAGGGGTGGCTCGCCTGGACCTGGGGTGCAGGTCACCATCAGCCGGTGACCGTGGGCCTGCACGGAGCGCCCTCAGGAGGACCCATGTGGGCACAGAGGAAGGGCTGCCCCCTCGCAGCCCCCTTGGCCCAGCGGAAGGCCTGCTGAGCCTCCCTGATAAGCCAGCACTCACTGTGTCTGTCACTGCCGCTGGCTGAGCGCCTGGAGATCCCAGGGCCAGACAAGGGGAAGCGGGGTGCCCAACCTCCTCCCTGCTCCCCCAGTGTGGGGGTCTCTGCCCCAGCCCCCCCATGTCCCTTTCCTTCCTTGTACCCCCCTCCGGAGGAGCCCTTGTCCCTCAGTGTCCCCAGCACAGCCTGTGCTGGGAAACTTGTGCCAGGTGAGCAATCCAGGGAGCTCAGCCCACCAATCACAGGCAGCCCCGAGAGTGTGGGGCAGAGAGGGAGGCGGGAGGGCGGTGGCCGGCCCCTCTGCTCTCACCCTGAGGAAGGGCAGAATTCTGGCTGCGATCAGATGGTTAAGGGTGACAGGGAAGGAGGAGGTGTGCTCCCCACCACGGTGTCCACAGAGGGGAGGCTCAGGTGAGTGGGCAGAAGCCTGCCAAGTCTGCACCATGGGCAGTGGAGCTCGGGCATGGACGCTGTGCCCAGGAAACAAGCCGCACGCACAGCAGCCAGAGGCACAGACCAGCTGTCCCGGGACCTGAGCGGTGTCAGGAAGTTCGCTCAGCGACCTCTTATCCAAGAGGCAGACGCATTGGACGAGGGCCTGGGGCTGTCAGTGTTGCAGGCGGACACCTGCCCCCTGACGAGTCCCCGATGTCCACATGTGTGTGTGCAGTGCGGCCTGAGGTTGTGGGCAGGGCTGGGGAGGGCGGGCACTGCGTGGTCGGAGGGCCCCAGGGTGTGGGGCCAATGGTCTATCTACATTGTGATCCCGATGCTGGGTTCCTGGCTGCCCCTAGAATCATCCTGGTTCATAGGTCAATGATCAACCGCTGAGCCGCTCTGGCTGGGCTAGAGTCGTCTTTTAAATGCTCTGTGTTGCTTTCTGTGTCCTGAATTCCCATGACCGCTCCCCGAGGAGACAAGCCCCAGGCACCAGGGCTGAGGAGGGGGTGTCCCCGCAGCCAGGACAGTGCTCAGGGCCGGGTCCCCACAGTGACACACAGTGGCTGCGTGGCTGCCCCTGGAGCCCTCCCTCCCCCTCGGTGAGGCCCACAGGGGGACACACGGCCACAACCACATGTGCTCTTCACACACTTTAATGAGGGGCAGTGCCCACCACCTGCCCCCTGGGCTGAGGAGGGGTTGGCTGGTGGAGCTCGGGACAGGGAGCAGGGAGGTGGAAAGGGCAGACACTGGGCAGGAAGCAGTGGTCTGGGGCAGGAGGGGGCTGGATTCTCCTCGGCCCCAGGTGGCAGCCCGAGGGAGGGGCTCAGCGCTCCTTGGGGACGTGCTGGTGGATCCAGTCCAGGAAGGAGGTGACGCGGGTGTAGATGCCGGGCTTGTTGGGTTCGCCACAGCCGAAACCCCAGCTGACCACACCCGCCTGCATCCAGGTGCCATTGACCTTGCAGACCAGGGGCCCTCCAGAGTCTCCCTGGGGAAGAGAGGGGTCAGCAAGGGGCTGCAGAGGCTGAGGGGGGGGGGGCCTCGGGGGAGGACACAGCGCACCTGGCAGGAGTCCTTATTCGTGGTCCCGGCACAGATCATGTTCTTACGGACGATCCGGACGTTGTCCCCCGTGTAGAGGCCAGCGTGGTATTCGGAGTCACATTCACTGTTTTCCACGATGGGGACCTTCACCTGCTTCAGGGGGTACGGCGGGGGGAGGGGCACTGGAGGCGGGAGGAGAGCATTCAGCACCAGGGAGGAGGCCAGCACTGCCCCAGCCTGCTGTCAGCACCCCTCCCCCAAGGGAAACCCAGAGTTGGGTCCTGGGTGTGACTGTTCCCCACTCCCCCAAGCCCTCCAAAGGTGCCTGACACTCACCTCCTGAATTCACATTACCCCAGCCTGTCACCCAACAGGGGGTGCCCGGGGGGAAGGTCTCCGAGGCAGGGGGCAGAGCCACCCGCTGGAATTTGCAGGAAACCCTCACGGGCTCCTCCAGCTCCAGCAGGGCGATGTCTGCCCCGTTCTCGGCGGTGAAGTAGTTGGGGTGCACGATGACCCTGTTGACGGGCAGCAGCTTGTCCCGGTAATAGAGGTGCTGCTCCCGCAGCTGCACCCTCAGGAATGAAGGGTCTGTGATGTCCCTGGAGGGAGGGGCACCTACTCAGGGGACTGAGCGGCCTCCTGTCCACCCAGGCAGGAGTGGGGATGCAGTCCCAGGCCCAACCCACCCACCAGGCCCCAGGGGCACTCACGGTCCCACGCAGTGTGCGGCGGTCAGCACCCACTGGGGGTGGATGAGGGAGCCCCCGCAGAAGTGTATCCAGTACTGGTATCTGAGTCTCAGGCTCACCTGCCAGGGCCACTTGTTTCCAGGGGCCTCCTGCCCCCCCACGATGCCCCCTCTCTCCAGGTCCTGGCTCTGGGCTGGGGCAGGAAACACACTCAGGGCAGCACAGGACACAGCCCGGCCCCTGAGCCCACACAAACCTGGGAGTCTGTGAGCCCACCACCCCTTGTGGAGCCTGTGGGGGGAGGGGGAGGAGCAGGGACAGGGCTGAGCAGGATCAGGACTCACCAGGGGCCGCGTGGCCCTGGCTCAGCAGGAGGGGCAGTGCCAGCACCAGCAGACTCAGCATCTGGAAGGAGCCAGGAGGGGCTGCTTGACCCAGGGGGGCTGAGCCCGGCGTGGGTCTGCAGGGTGTGGGGCAGATGGAGTTGAGGACCCCGGGATGAGGGGTCAGTGCAGACCCGGAGTCTGAGGTCCTGCTGCTCCAGATGTGAGGCTCAGCTACTCAGTGCACTAACCCCAGGTGGTGGGGTCTGCTGGGGTGCTTACCTTGACCAGTTGCTGCTGCTATTGCCCCAGCCCACTCTCCCCTCCCATTTATCCTTCCAGATGGGGTGGGGGTCAGAGGAGGGTTGCTGGATTCTCCAATCCGGGGTGGAGAAAGTGGATGATTCAGACCAAGGCTTCCATGTGACCTATACCCCCACCAGCAGGCACCCATCTGGTGTCACATGAGGAGGGCACACAGCCAAGTAGAGGCCAAGCCACCATCACTCCACCCCGAGGTGGGCCCGGCCTTCCTGGACTCTGGAGGCTGAGATGCCTAGTCCAGTCCGAGGGCGGGGGGTAGGCGGGGGGCTCTAGCATCCATGCGTATGTCCTCTCTGTGTGTCAGGCCTCCCCAATCCTGCCATGGACTCAGAGCTGGACATTTGAGCGTACCTCTCTGTCAGCCAGCTGAGCCCTGGCACGGACAAAGCTCCCCTTCCAGCTGCTGGGGTTACATTCCTCTCCTCTGCCAGGGGCAGTGAGAAGCCCTCCACCAGGCCTCCAGGCACAGCTGCGCCAGGAACCATGGTGCTGTCCGGCTATGCAACCAGCCGCACCCACCCCCGCCTGTTTCCCCAAGAGGAATGGTGTCTGAGGGCCACCCTCAGAGAAGCAGGGAGGCGCCCATGGGACAGTGGCACTTACCCTGGTCACTCCTCTCCACCCCTCTGTATTCACAGGACTCAGCCCTCCCCCCTCACCGCCAGGGAGGGGCTGGCAGACTCCCTGTGAGCTCTGGGAGGGAACAGCCCCGCGTCCTCACCCTGCTGCCCCCCAGGCCCCAGGATGGCAGATTCCATTCCAACATCCATGTCCGGACGCCACCTGAGCAGTTCTGCTGATCACAGTGGAGTCTATTTGGGATCTGAGTGCCATTATCCTGGGACAGGCAGAGGGAAGTGACAGTGAGATAACAAGTCCTTATGCCAGTTCCCCCTGGCCACTCCCCCAACCAGGCCCCACTACTCCTGGTCCCCGGTTCATCCATCCCACCTCCTCACTCTCCCCTCGGCCTACTGGTCACAGGGGCCCAGCCAGCCTCCCCGCTCATGGCATTCCAGAACTGCCTGCATTCCCCACTCCATCCAGGTCACCATCAGGGAAGAGGTGGGAACAAGAACCATCGACTGACACAGGCAGAGGGTTCCCAGAGCTCACACAGGGCATGGGCTGCTTCATGTTCCTCCCAGCCAATTTTTATTTGAGTTGCTTGCTTTCTTATTGTGGAGGAGTACGAGTTCTTTATTTGTACAAGAGGCCCACGACATGAAATTCCTGCATAGTGGGGTGTCCCTCAGCCCAGGCTGCACCCTCTCTAATTTGGGACCACTTGAAGGATGTCCAAACCGTCAGTGTAGGCCAGATCCCACAGGCAGTCAGACATCCCTCTCACAATCCAGGACTGCTGGATCCCAACCACTCACCTGTCTCTGCCTGATTGCCCCTAACCACTTCTGTCTGCCAGCCTGATCACCCGCTAACTGCCCTCCCCTATCAGCCTGGTTACCCCTAATTGCCCTCCCCTGGCAGTCTGATCCCCCCCCACAACTGCCCTCCCATGCAGGATTGTGTGTCTCCTAACTGTCCTCCCCTGCAGGCCTTGGCCCCCCACAACTGCCCTGCTCTGCTGTCCTGGTCATTCCAAACTGCCCTGCTCTGCTGGCCTGGTCATCCCAAACTGCCCTCCTCTGCTGGCCTCGTCACCACCCCTAACTGCCCTCCCCTGTAGGCCTGGTTCCCCCAACTGCCCTCCCCTGCTGCTGTAGTCCCCACCATCTACCCTCCCCTGGAGGCTTGAGTTCCTTCTAACTTTCCTCCCCTACAGGCCTAGTACCCCCAAATTAACCTCCCCTGCTGGCCCAGTCACCCCCAACTCCCCTTCCTTGATGGCCTGGCCTCCACCAACTGCCCCCAACTGCTCTCCCCTGCTGGCCATCTTGTGGTGGCCATCTTGTGTGCACATGGGGGCAACCACCTTGTGTCTTAGAGTGATGGTCAATTTGCATATTATTCTTTTATTAGATAGGATAACAGTCCTTTATCGGATATGTGTTTTACAAAGAATTTCTCCCACTCAGGCTTATCTTTTCATTCTATTAACAGTATCTCTCACAAAGCAGAAGTTTCCCATTTTTATGAAGTGCAACTTAATTTTTTTTCATGGATCATGTCTTGGGTGGTGTATCTAATCTTATCATCACGTACTGGCTTTGGCAACACACATACTAGTACCAACCCTCATCACCAAACCCAAGGCCATCTAGATTTTCTTCTATATTATCTTCTAGAAGTGTTATAGTTTTGCATTTTACACTCAGGTTTATGGCCCATTTTGTATTAATCTTTGTGAAAGGTCTGTGTCAAGATTCACTTTGGCAGGTAGCTATTTAGTGGTTACTCTTGGTTGAAAATACTCTCTTTTCCCCATGGAATTGCCTTTACTTTTTTGTCAAAGGCCATTTGACTATTTGTATGGGTCATTTTAGTCTATTGATTTATGTGTCTCTTCTTTCATCAATATTATTACAGCTCTGTAGTAAGTCTTGAAGTTAGTCCTCCAATTTTGTTTTTTGTCTTCAACATCATGTTGGCTTTGCCCAAGCCAGGTGTTCAATTGGTTGGAGCATTGTCCCTTACACAAAAAGGTGGCAGGCTTGATTCGGATCAGGGCACATACCTATGTTTTGGGTTTGATCCCCAGTCGGGGCCCATATGGGAGACAACCGATCCATGTTTCTCTCTCACATCAATGTTTCTCTCTCTCCCTTCTTCCTTTTTTCTAAAAAATAAAATCAACAACAACATATCTCGAATGAGGACTAAAAATTGTATATCAAGTTGGCTTTTCTGTGTCCTTTGTCCTTCTACATAAACTTTAGAATCGGCTTGTTGACATCCACAAAATAACTTACCAGGGTTTTGATTGGGGTTGTATAGAATCTCTGATCAAGATGGGAAGATACGACATCTTAATAATATTGTCTTTCTGTCTATGAACATGGATATCTCTCCACTCATTTAGATCTTTGATTTCTTTCATCAGAGTTATGTAGGTAGATCTTGTACATATTTTGTTAAATTATTCTTAAGCACTTTATTTTGGGGATGCTAAAGTGAAAAGTATTGATTTTAATTTCAACTTTCAATTTTCCATTATTGGTATATAGCAGTATATAACAATCTATACTAATAAAAGGGTAATATGCAAATTGGTCAGTACGTCCTTACAGTAACAACCGAACCAGCAGGCTGCATGCAGTGACCAGGCCACAGGGGGGGTCAATGAGGGACAACCAAACAACTGAACAGCAGGCTGCATGGGATGACCAGGCTGGCAGGGGGCAGTTGGGTGCAACCAGGCCAGCAGAGGGGGTAGTTGGGGGCAATCAGACTGGCAGGGGGCAGCAGTGAGGGGTGACCAGGTCAACAGAGGTGGTTAGTGAGGGGTGACCAGGCCAGCAGGGTAGGGGAAGTTGGGAGCAACCTGGCTGGCAGAAGGGGACAATGGAGGGAGACCAGGCTGGCAGAGGTGGGCAGTGAGGGGTAACCAGGCTGGCAGGGGAGGGCAGTTAGGGAGGACCAGACTGGAAGAGGGGAGCAGTGAAGGGTGACCAGGTTGGCACGGAGGGCAGTTGGGGGTGACCAGGCCAGTTAATGGGCAGTTGGGGATGACTAGGCCAGCAGAGGGGTACAGTGAGGGGCAACCAGGCTGGCAGGGGGAAGTAGGGGCAACCAGGTTAGTGGGGGAGGGGGAGCAGTGAGGGCTATCATGATGGCAGGAGGGGGGAAGTTGGGGGTGACAAGACCTGTGGGGGGGCAGTTAGGGGTGATCAGGCAGGTAGGCAGGTGAGCAGTTAGAAGCCAATGTCCCAGATTGTGAGAGGGATGTATGACTGCTGGTTTAGACCCAATCCCTGGGATGGGGCCTATACAGGCAGTTGGACATCCCCTGAGGGGTCCAAGATTGGAGAGGGTGCAGGCTGGGCTGAGGGGACTACCCCCCACTCCCCACGCACAAATTTTGTACATCAGGCCTCTAGCTGAGTTAATATTAACTTTATATCCTGCAACCTAAAAGCCTGGAGTTGTCCCTGGAGGAAAAAGTCATTAAAGTATGGGATTCCCCCCTCCAAGCCTGGGACCCCAGAGTGTTTACCTCTCAAGCTGCCCATGATCAGTGCCCAGCAATTAGCCAATTAGCCTGTTCTGACCAGGATCTGCTGCAGCTTATGTGCGTGAGCAGTGTTCTCTGTCCCATCTCTCCAGTTTGGGGACTGGCTTGCCCTTTGACCTAGATTCTCTGATGGGTCTTCATTTGACTTTCAGTTTGTTCTGCATTTTTTTAAAAAGTTATTTTTTATTGATTTCTGAGAGGAAGGGAAAGGGAGGAGAGAGATGGAAAAATCAATGATGAGAGAGAATCATGGATCAGCTGCCTCCTGCACACCCCCTAGTGGGGATTGAGTCTGAAACCCAGACATGTGCCCTGACCTCCTGGTTCATAGGTCAGCGCTCAACTACTGAGCCACACCGGCAGGACTGCATTTTCTTGTGAGGGTAGGAGTAACAACTTTCAAACTCTACATGTCAGAGCAGATGGGGGGAGGAGGAGAGAGAAAGGTGGGCAAATGTTGATTTACATAATACAAATAAATAATATGATAAAAATAAATAATAATATAAGAATAAACTCTGTGTTCTGTATATTCACACCTGTAAACCTACTTTTGTCCACCCCTGTGTGTAATCACATGCGTTTTGTTTGTTTGTTTGTTTTGTCTTTGTTAATCCTCACCTGAGGATATTTTTCCATTGATTTTTAGAGAATGGGGGGCAGAGTGACAGAGAGAAACATCGAAGTGAGACACATCGATTGGTTGACTCCTGCATGCACCCCAACCAGGGCCAGGGAACATGCAACCAGGCTACGTGCCCTTGACCAGAATCAAACCCAGGACCCTTTAGTCCACTGGCCGACGCTATATCCACTGAGCCAAAATGGCGAGGGCTGCATGTTTTTTAATTGAGATAAAACTAACATACACGGAATTCACAGGACTTGAG